CGGCGGTTGGCTTCTTCAATGGCCGCTGCGTCCACATGTGCCTGGAGAAGGATCTGCTGCATTTGTGAACTTGCTGCCCTCAGCTGCTCTCTGTCCTGCCTCTGTTTCTCTTCCCACTCTCCGATCGCGATGCGACGACATTTATGCTCTTCCAGCGCCGCGCATTCCTCGCAGAGCCACGACAAACTGCACTTCGGACACGCTTGAGAGCATTGGGCACGTACGGGTCGGCCACGCGACCCCCCCGGTCTGCGCGCTTTTCCCGGGCGACGGTTCTCCGCCCGAAGCGAGCATCCAGGGTCCGCGTTCCAGCAAGTTTCCCGGATACAGAAGCTGCTCGCGGTCCGATTTGACGACGGACGAGGGGACTCAAGGGCATCGAATCTTCTGGGGCTGGAACGCCCCGCTCTCGGGGCCTTTCCCCGACCCCCGCTGGGCGTCGACGTGTTCTGCCCCCTCGATCTTGACCCCATGTTCAATTGAGTGCCTTGCGACATCTCCTTTTGTTCATCCTATTCGTCTTGCACGACAAGTTCATCGAGCTCTGGTACACTATCGCGGTCAATTCTCGGCGGCACGAGGTTCTGTCGATAGAATCCTTTCGACAGCGGCGGAGAATTGAGATAATTTGTTTCGCTCTTGGTTTTCTTTGTCTTTGGGGGTGGGGTCGCATCAGTCGGCCCCCTCGCACGTCGAGCTGGGCGCGCGGCGTCAGGTGAGCGCCCCGTCGAGCGAGCCGAGAAGCTCCCTCTTCCACGGCCTAGCCCCCCGCTTTCGGGGATCATTTCATCCTCGAGGTCTTCGTCCGAATCAAGGACAGCCCTTCGAAGGGCTTCGGCTGGTTCGTACTCGATTGTTTCGGCGTCCGTCAGGTCCACGCCTGAGGCGAGCCCGCCAGGCGAGTTCTGTTGAGGGTTCGAGCGATACGATGGCCCTAGAGACGTATGGCAGCGAGCATCTTCATTGTTCTTTTCCATTGAATGAAGGCTCTCTTCCTCCGACTGCCCATCGCTTTCTTCTGCGCACTGCCCGCTCATCACACATTGTGTTATTCGTTCGTTGGCGCAGCGGTCTCCGCCCGCTGAGCTGGTGGGAACGCTTCTCGACGGGCTCTCCTTATCGTAGTTCGTATGAACTAATATCCTAGGGCTTGAGAGCACTGATGCGATCTCTGACGGGCTTCCCTTGGTAGCACTGGCTGAGCCATGCCCTCTGCCTGGCCATCGAGACTTTTCCTTCGTCTGGTGATATATAGGGGAATCCCCCTGTCAAATCAAACGCATATTCCGATGCTTGTCTTCCAGGAAGATTGAAAGAAAGAGGCCCCCCCCCTTGGGGCGCCTTCCCCAGTGATGCGCTCTGGGCGATTTTGTCGTTCTATGTCTCCGAGCGGTCCTTCCTTTGATCCCGTCTCCAGCGAAGCCAGCGGCTGAGCCGTCGTTTCGGCAGGCAACCAACTTTTTGCCTGGATATTGGCAATCCCTGCGTTGTATTCCGACGTAGCCTCGATTGCCCCTGAAGGTAACTTCCGCGAGGAAAGCTCGATGGGGCTCCGCCGAAGCCATCGCAAGGAGGGAGCGTTCCGTTAAGCGGATCAAAGGGATATGCGTGGTAGGGAGGAGGCCGGTCGGCCGACGACGCGACGACGATGGGGGAACGACCCCGCGCGCGCGCGCAAGCTAGCTCGCTCCTTTTTCCTATACCTCTCGAATCTGAATGGCTGCAGGCGGACAGTCAGTAAAACAACAATGATGGCAACGGCAACAGGATGGTGGTGCGGAGAGGAACACATTAACTAGAACGAAAGAGGACAGGCAGGCGAGGCCAAAAGGGAAAGGACGGGGAATGGAAAGATAGGATGGGTCAGCGAACGAGTAAAGCTTACTCCTCCTTCCATTGTTCCGCGTCATCATGTTTGTTTCTCCACCTTCCCCATCATCACCGTCGTCATCATCATCATAAACGCCATCAACATCATCATCATTCTCGCTATCCTCACCTGCGCGCTCTGCCTCCGCGCCCCTCCCCCCCTATTCGCCGTCCCCTTCCTCTTTCGATTGGCAGCGACAGTCATGTTCCCGGCAGGCTTTCCGGGAACATGACTGTCGCCGCCAATCGTCCCAAGTGAGGCTGCAAAACCTGCGCGACGGCCACATCGAATAATTCGAAAAAAAAAACCGTGGCGAAGAAAAACGGGGTGAAGACGTGGAGTTTGGAAAGGCATGGACGAGGTGCGAGGTGGCTAACGCAGCAAAAACGGCTGGAGCTGGCACAGCCAAGTGGAGGAATGTGGAAAAGAGCGCGGGGAGGGCATACGACGCAAAGCAGACTTGGTTTCGGCTCATCCCGCCGCCGTTCCTGGATCGTTGGTCGAAAGATTGTAATTTGTTCGTTGGGGTGTTGGCAGAAACCGCGCGGGGGCTTCGTGGGGGCCGTTTCTGAAGCTGCCTTTGACCATAATGGGCCGTTTGGGGCGCCCCCTGGGGTCGCCTTCGAGCCCGCGCGGGCCGGCATCCTCATTGTCCTCGTCTGGCTCGTCCTCATTATTTGCCTCTGTTTGCTGTTTTCCTGTCTTCCCCCTCCGCTTCCTCGTCGGGCTGGTGGCGACAATCGTGTCCCCGGGAACCTCTCCGGGTACATGATGGTGTGGATCGTGCTGGAGCCGTCGGGTCCAGGGTTGCCCATATGAGGCTGCAAGATCGGAAGACAGCCCCGTGGGAACACTCGCACATGTTGACCTGGTGGTGAGGCTTGGCAGGGACATGGGGGAAGCGCGCGGCTGCAGTTCAAGAGCGGCAAGAGCTGGAAGGCCACGGCACGGAATGTGAGACGTAGCGGAAGGGGGTGTACCATCTACACCGCATCCATTCGCAGCGGGGCCCCGGGCCCGACCTCGGTTCCGCTGCGAACGGGCCCTGGGCAACGCTACTCATACTCGGGGCGTTCGGTGGGATGGCGCGGACTCTTCTCCTCCCCGTCGGTCTCCTCGCCGGACTGGCGGCGACAATTGTACTCCCGGAAAGCATTCCGGGAACATGATGGCGTAGTTCTTGTTGGGGTCCTCGTGGAGGGCTTCAATATACCCCGAGTGGCAATGGAAAACCAGAAAGACGGCCCAATAGAATGGTTCGAACAATCTGGAGATAGGCGATGAGGGGGTGGAGGTTAAAAGTGACATGTAGGAGGTATGAAATGACAGAGTAAGCACGGCTGGAGCTGGGAAGGCCACGAGGAGGAGGGTGAGAAAGACCGTCGGGGCTTTCGACAGCGACCAGAATTGCTGTGGGCCCACCCCGCCTTTGTCTTGGATTGTGGGTCACAAGCCTGTAGGATGTCTGGTGGGAAGGCGACGGACGCCGCGCGGGGGCCTCTTGGGGACCATTTCTGGGAAGATGATGGGGTGGGCCGCGTGGGGGCCCTCGGTTTCAGGGTTATCATAATGAGGTTGCCAAACCCGAAGGACGGGCTGGTAAAAACATTTGCGAAGGTTGAACTGGTGAAGTTTGGCGGGGAGATGGGCGAGGCGCAAGGTTTCCATTCTAGAACGGCAAGAGCTGGAAAGGCCACAGCAAGGCGCTGCGCTGAGTTGGGGTGTTCGGTGAGACGGCGCGGACCGTCATCCTCATCTTCGGCTTCCTTGCAGGTCTGGCGCTGACAATCATGTTCCCGGAAAGCTCCCCAGGAACATGGTGTGTGCGGGGCAATATTGAAGTCCTCGTGGAAGTCGCCAAGGTACCTCAAAAAGAGACTGCAAACCCCGAGGGACAGCCAGAGTGAGCCATTCGGTGCGGCACTCTGGAGGCCTCAAGAAGGCGCCAGGGCGGCCCCAGGCAGGCTCCAGAAGGCGCCCGAGGCCCCAGACGAGTGCCCTGACGAACAACAGTGATTGATTTCGTTTGGGTTTTTACCATGTTTTCCGTGCCCTCTCTTTGTCGATGTATTCTTACATTCCGCGACGGCCCGCAAGGCTTCCGACACCGCCTAAGGACGAGCCCGGCAATCTCCAGGAAGGCCCCGGGACGGCCTAGCAGGGCTGCATGACGCCCCCAGGGGCGCCCCAGACGGCCCACGAGGCCCTAAGATGGATGAGCGGATGACTAGGGATTCCTCCTCCTTCCCTTTCATTTGCCTCTTGATGATGTGTTGTGTCCTCCTCCTCCACCTCCACCTCCTCCTCCTCGTCCTCCTCGTCCTCCTCGTCGTCCTCCTCCTCCTCCTCCTCCTCCTCCTCCTCCTCCTCAGCCTCCTCCTCATCCTCGTCACCCTCACCTGCGTGCTCTGCCTCCGCACTCCTCCTCCCCTCCTCGTTGTCCTCTTCCTCGTTCGACTGGCGGCGACAGGCATGTTCCCGGCATGCTTTCCGGGAACATGACTGTCGCCGCCAGTCGTCCCAAACGGAGCTGCAAAACCCGCACGACGGCCAAACGAACTCATTCGACAAGGGGGTGAGAAATTGGACCTTGGAAGTGAAGTTGAAGAGGTGTGAGGTAACGGCGCAAAAACGGCTGGAGCTGGGAAAGAAGAGCGGAGGAGGCTGAAAAAGAACGTAAGGAGGCTTGCGACGCAGACCGGAATGGGTTTCGGCCCACCCCGCTGCCGCCCCTGCGTCGTGGACCGAAAGCCTGTAGGATGTTCGGTGGGATGTTGGCGGAAATCGCGCGGGGGCCTTTCGGGAGCCGTTTCCAAACCTCTGTTTTCGACCATTCTGGGCAATCAGGGGCGCCCCTGGGGCCGTCTTGGAGCCCGCGTGGGCCGGCATCCTGCTTGTCGTCGTCTGACCATCCTAATTATTTGCCTCGTGATTTGCGTTGCTTGCTGGAGCGTGGGCCGCGTTGGAGCATTCGGCTCCACGGTTACCCCAACGAGGCTCCAAAGCCCGAAGGACGGCGAAAAGCGGGGAAGGGAGGGGCGAAAAGCGGGGAGAGCGGGGAGAAGGAGGGCGGAGGAGATCCCGGAGGTGCGGGGGGAGGCATGGCGGGCAAAAGCGGCGCCCACCGCTCCTCGTGCCCGCCGGCCTTCTCGCGCTTCCCCATCGAAGCTCCCCCGCCGCGGGCGCCCGCACCTTCCCCCCCCGCCCTGCAGGCCAAAGAAGACTCTCGCCCGCGGCTGCTGCCCCCCTCCTGCCTTCCCCCACCCCCTGTCTTGCCCGCCCTATGCGAGGAGCGAGAGAAAAGGAGAGAGAGAGAGAGAGAGAGACAGATGAGGATGGAGAGAGAAAGAGAGAGAGAGAGAGAGGCGCACAAACACACACACAAACACACACACAGTCGCGCACACACACACACACACACATGTATACAACACATGTATGTAGGTATATGTGCACACATTTCTGGACAGAGAGAGAGAGAGTGAGAGAGAGAGAGAGAGAAAAAGAGAGAAGACAATGGGGTACACATGCGATAAAAAAAGGGGGGTCCACGCCACGTGCTACCATGACGAACGCTGGGTAAGGACAGGAAGGGTTTTCCAGCTGGGGTGAGCCTCGGCTACGAATGTCCCCCGACTTAGACTTACAGGACGGCCCAAAAACTAGAGCCCCTCCTGATCCCAAGGTGGTCCTTATTTCAGCGGCTCGGCTGTGCCGCGGCATCTGGAGGCCCCAGGAGTTAACGGGATGGCCACTGAAGTCGGCATTGATTTCTGGAACTGCGGGCTTGACAAACCAGGGGGTGGCAGCACTCTCAGAGCCACGACCCGTCGAAAGAAACAGTGAGCGTGTGCTCTCAGGGCCACGAACACCTGTGTCAGCCAGCCAGCCAACCGGTCAGCCACCAACAAGCTAGCCAGCCAATCGACCAAACTAGTCGATCAACCAGCAAAGAGCTCTTCAGCCACCCAGCCTGCTAGTCAACGGCCAATCAGGAAGGGAGGCCAGCGACAGGGGCGAATCTCTGTGCCAGTAATCTGGGAGCTTGATTTTGTGATTAGCCGAAACATTTTACAAGGGCATCTGGGCTCTCCCGGTCGCGGCGGGGGCTCTGCAACCTGCGCCCCGAAAACGAAAGTTCTATGCATCCTGGAGCTCCGCGAATTGTTGCGACGCCTTCGACCCCAGTGCGCTGCGGGGGCCCTGCAAGGCCGTCGAGTGCATGACTCGCTAAGTCGCATTTACGAACGTAGTTCGCCTCGCGCGGGCGATATCTCATGTCCTGCTGCGTCGCATTCGCGAACGTAGTTCACGAGATGCAGCTGTCGCCGCCCCCCCCCTGCATCGCATTCGCGAACTCAGTTCGCGCCGTGCGATCGTGCCGTTACGTTCTGCAGCTGGAGCATGCGCAGCGAAACTTCTTGGCTTTTACCCCATCGTCGGCGCGTTTTCATCGTCCGCCCTCAGGTCGCCGCGGCGGGGGGGGGGGGGGGGGGGCTGGGCGCGTTTCCTCGCGCCTCTCGTCGCCCAGTCTGACAGCGGCGCGGTCGTGCTTGGGCCCCCCGCGCATCGCGCCCAAGATAAGCCCCCGGCCGCTGCCCCCCCCCCCCCTCGCGACGTCGGCCCTCGCGTCGCGAGCGTCGCGCCAGAGCGAGCAATCTGCTCGGCGCGGAGCTGGTCGAAGAGCCACGACAGGTGGCCTGCCGCGCTGCGCTCTGAGGGTGGGCGCGCAGAATCCACGGCGACGCCCGCGAAGACGGATGTCCTGTCCACGACCAAGGTCGCTGGCGCGGCGCACCCTCCCCCCCTCAGCTCCCTGGCCCCTCGGCTGAGACCGGGCACCGGGTCATCTCGCGGAGCGCGAGGGGGCAGGCCCGCGACCCGCCGGCCGCGCCGCGGGCTGCGAACAACTCGGCGCCGAACGAAGACCTACGCGCGAGCGCGTGCGAACTGCTCGCGGCATCGAGCAAATGGCAGACCTCCTTCTTGTCCGTGCTGCAGCGCTTGCCATGGCGCGCGAAGACGGCGCCCTTCGCGCCGCGCCCTGTCTCGCCCCCCCTCGGAGGGCCCGTCGCTGCGCGCGCAGATCTGGCCAAAGCATTCCACGGCAGGACAGGCGACGCGCGCTGATCACCCGCGCAGAACCGCAGACTTGAACTGAATAACGCGTCGCACGACCAGGTTTTTCTCGGCCCGCTGGCCCGCTGCAGGGCCGCCATGCACGCTGCGACGCGGCGCTGGGCAGGCGGGCGGGCAAGGCGCGCGCGGCTGCCGTTGGAAAGGAAACGAAAGGGTCGGGTCGTCGACCGCCAACGGGCTGGCCGGCCTTCGCATCGACCAGGTCGACGCCTCTGATCGGCATCGGGCGTTGATGCGCCATTTCTGGCCGAGCGTCGCCGCGCCGTCGGCGCCGCGAAGTCGTCGCAGCCCCCCTCATCTTGCCCGAAACGCCCTCGACCTGGCCAGCGAGCTCGTCGACGCGCCCCCCATGTCCGACGATTTTTGGATCGCCCGCGCTCTTGGACAACGTCAGCGCGGGATTTGAATCGCCGGCAACACAGTTGCTGGACGCCCCATGCTTGACATCGAGCCCTGGGCCCCACCGAGAGGGTTTGACATTGCACTCCGGCGAGCGCGTGGCCCCGGCGAGTCTCGTAGAGAAGGCCCAAGGCGCGCCCGTGCAGTCCGCGCCCGGCTCGACGCAGCGCATGCACTCGAGCCTCTCGTCGAAGGACCCGTAGCTGGGCACCTGCCTGAAAATGGCTGCGCTGTTGGGCGGCACGGTGAAGTTCACCTCGCGCGGCGCCCCACCTTATTCCTGCATCTCCGCGTGCGCCATGCCCCGCAAGAACGCCTTCTCGACGCCCGCCGCGACGCAGGCCCAGTCCGGGCGGCGCGCCGCCTCCAAGGACAGCGCGCGCCGCAAGGCGCGTTTAGATGGCCCCGCGAGCGTCTCCAGGGCGCCGGCGCCCATGCCGCGGGAGCCTCCGAGCGCCGCGCGGGGCCGGATGGTCCGCGCGGTCTTGCCGTTGGGGCCCCTCCAGTGCTTCCACTTGAAGACGCGCCTGGAGTCCATGACGTTTCGGGCGCCCTTGAGCAGTCGCTGTTCGAAGCGTGCGAACTTGACCCAGATGGTGAGCTCCTCGAGGATGGCTGCAGACACCTCGTTGACAGCCTGGACACCTCTTCCTCGGTCAGAAGATCGGCGTCGTGCTTGGTGACCGCGGTCGCGCCAGCGGCTCGCGCGTTAAGCGCGGCTGTCCTGGTATCGCCAGCAGCGCAACTGCTGGACGCTTCCTCGTTGCAGCTCCACATGTCCTCGTCCGCCCTCCTCCAGCGTGGCGGGGTCGCCTATGGCGGCGCCGCGCAGGTAGTCGCAACGCTAGGCGTAAATTCCCCGACGCTGGCGCTGCGTCTCGAGGCGCTGGGGCCACTCGCGTGGCCGGCGGCCGAGAACGGCCGCAGCGTGCTCGACAGCAACGTAGATCATCAGCTGGCAGTCGTCGCTCTCCAACGCATCCAGCTCCTGGGCCAGGTCTTCTGCCCCTTCGACTACGCGCCACGCTGCCAACATCACCTGTTGGATGTGGCCGTAGAAGACGCTACCAGTCTCCTCGGGTATTGCCAACAGTGCTGATGGAGATCCCCCCTCAGTGGTGCTGACAGCGCCCTTAGGAGTCGATAGCGCAGCCATGTCCAGCATCTGCTGCCAGAAGCGTTTCGTCACCCAAAGTGACCTGGATGATACGGGCGTTCCCCCACTGTTCGCCGATGAGCGCGCGGGTGGCAACCTTGACGCCGTCCAGGTTCATCTGCTAAATCCGCCGATCCGGCGTGTGAGTTTCTGAGAGCGAGGGCTTGAGCTTGCTCAAGCTTCGCTCTGGAGTGGAGGGGGGGGGGGGGGGGCGCGCGCTTTTACAGAGAAGCCCCCTGTAGATGCGCCCAGGGGGTGGCGCGCGGGATTTGCTGCTTTTACAGGGGGATGCTCTGTAGATTCGCTCATGGGCATTAGTTGCTTGCGATATTTGCTGGTTCTACAGACGGGCCCTCTGTAGACGCGCTCGACGAGCGGCTGGTTCGCTGCTTTTACAGAAGGACCTTCTGTAGATGCACTCAAGGGCATTGCAGATTTGCTGCTTTTACAAAAGGATTCTCTGTAGCTTGTATACGCGCTCAGAAGGTCGCGGATTCGCTGCTTTGACAGAGTGGCCCTCAGTATATACGCTCAAGAAATGGCGCTCAGAAATGTAGATCCTCTGCATTCCTATGGGATCCTCCCCCCGGGAACTTTTTTCCGGGGCCCTCCGACGACGGCGACGGCGACGGCGACGATGTCCACCTCCAAGCCCCCCCCACTAGGCACTCCCCAGCGCCCTTTCTTTCGATTCGGATATTTCCGGAAGTCCCGTCAGCTCGTTGTTCGAAAGCCCCGGGGGTCCAAAAAACACATCCCCCGACTGCGTCGCACTCCTCGGCGCTCCCTAATGCCATTTGTGTCAATTTGGCGATGTGGACATTTCTGGAGGTCTTGGAAATCCGTTTGTGGAGGTCCCAGGGGTCCAAAAAACACATGCCCCCTACTCCATCGCACTCCTCGGCGCTCCCCGGCGCCATTTCCCGACTCGGAGATTTCCCAGAATTCCTGAACATCGGTATTGGAAGTCGGGGTCCACAAACGCTTCCTCCCATGGAAACCCGAGTCGGGGGCCTTATCAAGCCGTGCGCCGTCGCCGCGCCGTCGCCGCCGTGCCCGCCGCGTCCTGCGCGGAACGGCACGCGCACGCGCACGTGCGCACAAGTGTGCCCTGCGCAGGCAACTAATTACGCACGATGATGTGGATAGATGTGGTTCGATTTTCAGTGTCCGCGCGTGGTCTCGCGCGCTTCCGTCAGAACGGTGTCGCGACTACTTCATGCTAATTGTTGGCAGAAGCCTCGATTACCTCACGCGAGCGCGGGTGTCGCTCCATCCGCCGAGCGGTGTCGCTACAACCCTATGCTCACATGTTGCAGAGACCAGGACTACCTCACGCAAGTGCGCGCTCCTTCGCTTCGTCGTGGAATTCCTTCGCCTTCTTGTACAAGGGCGTTCCTTTAGCAAGACTCGCGTTGCCTGGCAACCCTAATTCAGCCCGGGCCTTCGCGACACTGTCCTTCCACGATTGCGTATACTTCGCCTTATCCACGCCAGCTGCCTTCGCTCTCGAACTTTTCGGCCTGACCTT